TAAGGTCTACGGACTTCTCTGAAGTTCTGTAGATCTACACAGCTAAAAAAAGTAGTGTAAATTTCCGTTACTATGATGCACATAAATGGAGCGTCATATATCATACAAGTTTAGATTATAGATCGTGTAAATTTATGAGACATGTCATGTAATATCCCACATATATTGCATGCAACTGTCCACTTTTGTTTGCAACATTTCTTGCAAGTTTACGTTGCTAGTTTACGTGAAAAGGAAGTTTACATGTATGAATGTTTGCATGCATGGATGTTTACATCGCCAGTAAAATCTATTTCCGACTTCCATGGAGTTCTGCAAAATATTGTACTTTTGTACTTCGCTGCGATTTGTTTTTGGAATTGAGGTGCTTTTCTGACATTTAACGAATTTTTCTAAAGATCTCACATTTGTGTGAAAATGTGAAACTTTCTGTCAAATTCCTGCAAATATCTTCTAAGTTCTGTAAAGTTGTCTTAAGCTCCGTAGCTCTATTCCCAAGATCTACAACAACAAAACTTGAGGCTCAAGGCCCTGAAGATTTGAAAATTTCGTTGAAGATTACCTCAAGTTGTCAAAACTTATCTGAAAATATTTGAGCTTCTTTGAAGTTTTAAATGTCTCTCTCAAGATCTAAAAATTTTCCTGAAATCGTGTAAATATTTTTTTTAACCGCCGAACTTCCCTGAAGTTCTGCAATTTTTACTGAAGAGCCATTAACATTTCTGAGATTCTTGTGATTTTTTTCAGAAATACTGTTATTTTTTCTGTAACTTTGTTCTGAAGATCTACGAACTTTTCTGATGTTGAATAATGTTTCGAGGATCTCCAAACTTCTGTGAAATACTTTATATTTCACTGTAGATTCTTGGACTTGCCTGTAGTTATGCAAATTTCCCTGAAGATTTGCAAAATTTCGCTTATAGTTTTACAAATTGATTTGAAATTATTTTTGCTTGCTTGAAGTTTTGAAAATTTCTTTGAACATTTATCTGAAGATCTACGACCTTTCTTGTGATGTTGTTTTTATGAATTTCTTTTAATTACTTTTAATTTGTTTGTAGTTCTGTTCTCAAGATCTACGAACTACCCTGAAGCTCAACAAATTTACAGTAGATCTCCGACCCTCTCTGAAGCTCAAAAAAATTATATGTAGGCTCTCAGACCTGCTATTCTTATACAATACATGCTTCGTATGCTTCCTTTTGCCAATCTCTCTTTTTCGACTGTTTCCTTTTTACGACGATTTTGATCCTCCACATACAAATCAGCGAAGAGCGAGCGTGACAAGACTCTCTGAATGAACTTGTCTTGTTCGTACACGTTGTCTTAGATGTCAGATGCTTGTCAAATCCAGTGTCCTTAAGAAACGTTTCGAGAAACTGAACGAAAAACTTCTTTTGAATTACGAATGAAGTGATAATTGGGAAATTCCCTGAGTGGAACCAAAATTCCCTGAATATTCCAGGTTTTTCAAGAAAAAATAAAATTCCCTGTAAATTCCCGGTTTTTCCAGGTAGTAGACACCCTGCAGCAGAGCACTTAGTCAGCACGTTTATTTTTCTGTGAATGTACCCAATCCTTGTTCTGAGTGACTGAGCATGTATGTTCTAAAGAGCCAATTCAGTCCCTTTAATATTTTCTATGAAAAAATGCCTCAATTACATACTGTGCGAGCGAAGGCAGCGGTGTGAGTCGCCTGTTCGTAAGTGACTGAATATTTTTGTTGCCTTTTTCATTGCCTTGTCCTTTACCGTTCGGTACAAACGGTCTAGGAATTGAATAGTGCAGTGCTTTCACACTCAGCCCAAGCAGTATTCGGTTGTGCTCCTGGAAATTCTTGCTGGGCATCAGAATGTCGTCGGATAGCCAAAATGATACCTTCTCATCAAAGGGTACTCAACTCTGCACATCTCAATCTGTGCCCAGCGTTGTGCCCGAATGTGCCGAAGTGTAGCAATCAAGTTGGCAGTCTCAGTAACCCAATAGTTTGGCAACCCTGTAGTTATGACTTTTGAGATTATTTGTTTACCATGTCAAGTTCTCACGGATGATTAAACGAGCATCAAGTAACACGCATGTGAGGCTTTTTTTTTGTAGAACATTCATTACTCTTGGTTCAACGATGCTAAACGAATGAGAAGATTGACAAGCGCTAGATTGTCGGCCACTGCTGGAACTGTTAGTCATTGTAAGATGACCGTTGCCAACCTCGAAGTTCTGCCCCTCCACGAGAAGGAGAAGGGTGACTGATGGCAGAAGTTCTGTACCGGGTGTCGTTCTGGTAGACGTACACCGAATCCTGTATCATAAGTACTCAACCGGAAAGTGGAAGATGTGCATCTACATTATCATCATGCTACTCGGGCAATAAGGAAGGATTCGATCTAAAATTCCCACCGGCAATAGTAGAGCAGCAATAGACATTCAGTAGCTTCCAAATGCCAGCAATCGCTGTTGAGTACTGAATTCGTCTAACTGAACTGGTGAGATAATCAAACGACTGTGATTTTCCATGACTTTGAGCTTTTGAACACCCTAATAAATGAACAGGAGGCCCAAACCGCTGAGATTGTTCATTGACGAATTTAAAATTTACTCGAATTGCTCTTCTTCGTCTTTCTGATGGCTCTCAACTTCTTACTTTTAATCCGTTCATCCACATCTTCCGTCGACTAATATCCAACAGCATCCAAATGCTGGTCCAGGATCTTGATACCGGTTGCCAACGTTTGATCCGTTTTGTCTCTGCTTGTTATTCATTCATATTTTTCATCCTTGCTTGGTCTTGCCGGAATTGCATATTTATAGCCCTGAAACTGCTGGCGGTTCCGATTGCGTTTATTAATACCGCGGTTCAGATTGGCTTCGTTACCTTTACAATTCTGCAAGCGGAATCCTTCTTAATGTTGCTAATACGGGATCCACTAACTCCATCAGCTTCTATAGTCAATCTAAACTACGAGATGGTTCAGTCCATAGAATGCGCTGTACGGCTGACTGATTGGTGAACCATCAATCGTACCGAGTGGTTATCCGGGAGAAACTGCTGTGGTTGCAGACGCATCTACAGAATGGCAGGACCGTTCTGCATCGGGTTCTTGTTGACACTATACATCAATGCTGCAATTGGAACTGGATTCTGCAATTCTCTTTACCTTTACAATTTGCATTCCATGTGGGGTAAGCAGGCCTATTCTACGTGGCTCTGACTCTGACTAATTTGTTTGGGTTTCCCCCAAAACATAAATACTTTCGAAACTATGAACTTTCGTCAAATACCCTGTAGACTTTCGTTAGAGATCCATCACCAGGGCACGGAGAGTCTCGTCAATTGTGTAATCTTTTATTATGATTTGGGATGTAAGTGTAAGGCTGCAACAAATGACAGTGATCTTGCTCACTGAGCAATGTGTGTTACCTCAAAAGCAGCTCCAAAAATGCTCATGATTAGGAGCTGTCTTGCCCCTTGATTTAGGTTTCAAGATTGCAAATAAGTGTCAAATTATGCTGCATAGTTCGATAATAATTTTATGAAGTCTGAATTATGATATATTCTTAAGTCTCAGAATTTTGAAATGCATCTAAGTTTCATGTACATTATTGGAAGGACACTGAAATATTGTTCGTAAATTGCATGACATAATTATTACGATTATGAGGCCAGACCAGTTTTTCAGATTCTTGAACTTTGCGAGATTGTTTTGAGGATCGTTGTGGAGGAAATCTAGGGATAATTCTAAAGGAACTCTGAGGTGAATTTCGATGGATTCAGGTGATTTTTGGAAGTTTTACATCCAAATTGTTAAAGTGAGTTTACAGGTAGTTTTGAAGAGACTATTTTGAGGATTATGATTATATAAAAAAAATCATTCCAGGATTCGAATAAGTCGTCGGATAAAAAAGGGACTTAATGTACGCGAACGCGAACCAAAAATAGCCATTTCAAAAGCAAAAGTGTGCATCACTTTTTTTCCCATCCCTGAACGGTAGCATAAATTGATGTCTGAATCGCCCAGTAATGTCAATACGGCAGCCATTCATCACCATCGGCATATGAAACAAATTAAAAACGAATCCACTTCCAGGCAGACAGTAACCACCAAGACATGTCCCGTCTTCCAGGAACGAATAAAAACAAACCTCGAACCAGAACGGCAGAACAATCAGAACAAGAAGAAAAGTGTCGCGTTCATTACTCCGCTTTCCGCTTATACCACGTAAGTATATTTATGCTTCGCGAACAACACAAACACAGGCTCTCGCCCTCGATTCTTGTTTGGAAGAGGAGTATGATGACGGTGATGATGATGATGATGATGATGGGAACCACAGCGATATGTTTCGACGCCGCCTACCCGCGCGCCTCGTTGGACCTTGCGCGACGCACCGCACCATTCCCCCGATCCACGAACACACGGGACGGACGGTATGTAGAGGTACGCGCAGCAAATGTACGACTCGGCCGGTGGTGTGTCGGGGGGCCAACTCCGAACTCCCGATATGCACGTACGTAAACGCGCTCTCTCGTACGGATATATAAACGTCGGTACGTACAGCGGAATTTCAATTTCGATTCGATTCTTCGCCCCCCTTGCCCACACTGCTTTCTTTCGGGTTTTCTTTTGCTCGCGCTTTTTGCCTAATGGTAATGGGGGGGCTCGACGAATCGTTCGCTCTGCTTTGCCAACCCCTCCGTGGAGAAGGAAGAAAAATGTACAACTAGTGCTAATTATGCAATTTCAGCTACTGCTTCTTCGAAACCATCAATTAAACTGGCGCTCCAAATTCACACAGGAAAATCACTCGAACCGAGGAACAGTCCACCAGGTCCAATTGTTGACCGCCAGCTCGTACCCCGTCCATTTCACAGACATCCGAATCAAAACTTTGCGCATTCGGCGAGCCCATCGTCGTCGTCTCTTCTGGTTCTTCCCTGTCGCTCGCCTCCAGAACACATTTCTAAACACACCGAAAACAACGGCAGAACCCGCCGGACTCACCTTGTTCGAATCGAATTCCCATCGGTGAGGGTAAAATCCACTGGTCTGCACTTTTTCCGCCGCAATTTGCTCACTTTAAACTAAAGATTTTTTCACTTTTCCGATCAGATGAAAATTCCAGCAGCAGCAACAGCAGCGGTTGCCATCTTTTTCTTTACACTACTTTGGTTTTTCTTCGATCCACTTCTCTGCTGATGGCTGTCTGATGAACAACTAGTACTGGGTTGGTTTTGCGTGGGGGGTGGGAGGAGCGGAAAAAATCAGTTTGACACGACAGGTCACTCACCCGAAACGTGAGTGGCTTTAGTACAGCAGCGGAGCGCGCGCACTGTTTGTAAACAGGTGAGGCAATGTGAATGTATTCCACTTTCGTTTTGCCGGGTTTGACGTCACACTTCATCAACCTTTTAAACAGCGTGAGAACGAAAGAGACGACAAATTCACATTGCCTCGCTGCGTGCGAGTCGCAGTTCAATGAATATAAACAGGTAAGGCAATGTGAATTCGTTATCTCTTTTGTTCAACCGCTGTTAAAATGGTTGACGTGTGACGTCAAACTCTGTCATCCTTTGCCAACGAAAGAACAAAAAGTCGAAAAATTTCCTGGTGCAACCTGTTTACAAATCGTTGGTCGCGGCTGATAATGTGAAAAGTGACAGATCGAGATCAACAAAACCGGGCGGGTGAGTTACCGAATGTGTTGCCAGGATTGATAATTTTTGAAAGAAAGGGTGCACGGTAACAAAAAAATACTCAATATTGACTAAGTTCAGATTTATATCAAGAATGAGAAATTATTTTAACCGATTAGTTCAGCTGCTTAATGTTCGGTATAAATTACAGAAGTTGCTATCATTTCTAAAGGCCCAAACGCAATGTGGACGGAAGAGGAACGGAAACGGAAAGTTTGACAGTTGTCATGTTGCCTAACCGAAGTCGATTTGGTTTCAACAAGTTTTCAATCCGACAAGTTGGCTTACTCAGATTGGGCTTTTCCGCTGTCATTGCGCTTGGGCCTTAAGTGTGTAGCGAGATGATAACGATATCAAGTAGATGTGTTCACACTACGCTGGCGTGATAAAGCATAACCAATCCTCTGCCAAGAAGGAGGGTTGCTAAAGCCACCACCATCTGTGGTGTCAGCACTGTAGCCTACAGTTTTTATGCTATGTTGACGACACGTATGCGTTAAAAAATCTTATGTGAATAATCATTAATGAAACTTGAATTTTTCATGATTAGCTTGCCTAATTTAAAAATAATATAATAAATATTTAATTCCTACAAGTCACAGCAAAAAAAAAAAATGTAATATCGATCAATGCAATTCAAGCTGATGTATGAAATAATGATGTAATAGCAAAAAGCAGATACAATATTACATCAATGGATGTTATTTTGTTCGCAAAATCGATGTAAATCGTACAACGTTATATTGATTATTGATATTGATTGACCTGGTTGCAGCAGTTTGGATGTAATATTCAACAACTTTTTTTTTTCTGTATATGCGCTTGTTGAACATTTATCACGAATATTTTACCGCGCAACAAATCAAACATCTATGTGGACGGAGCATAATTTCTCAATGTTTGCATCAGCTGTCTTAGATTGACAGATAATCGAGCCAAAGAAGCAAACACTGTGGCTCTTCAAGCAAAATGTTCGTGGATGACGTTTCTGCCACCGGAGTGAGCATGCGGCACGGCATGACGTGTACACTCAAAAATATTACTAAACATAGAGGGATTAAAAATTAATCATTTTATGTTTTATCAATTTTTAAACATAGATTTGATTATAATTTGATTTCAAAATTATACTTACGCGGAATAAAGGCGAAGAAATCGTTCAGTTTGTATTTGTCAAGGTAAAAATTGCGCTGGGGCGCATAATTGTTTTCGATCCGGTCTTTAATTTTTTCACGTCGATTCCGGTCGTTTAGTTTCGTGGCCTCAGGTGGGCATATAATAATCGAAAAAGACACTTTCAACCAACAGGTGTGACATGTGCATTCCACATGTCATCAAATCCCTTTTTCCCATAGACAATGCTAGCAGGCCGCACTTGTAGCTTTATGCTGAGAAGAGTCGAATTCTTCCATAACCCTCGTCAGTCATCGACCCATTGCACTAGCATGTCGCAATTGGACGTTTTACTGCAAAACAAAAGAATCATATTTCAGAGTCATTATACTATGGCTGTTTCAAACCCGCCGGCAGCGTATGAATGCTGACCGTGTGGTCTCTCCCAAATTCTCACTCTCTTTTCCACTTATGCCTTCTCCATAACCCATCGATTGGTGATTGGTTAATTAATACATAAGACTTCAAGTGCCTCCAAAACGACAGCCTAGGATAAGTTTAATAAATTGAATAAATTCATTCTCATTCTTACCGTCAAGTATGTTACATCGTAAATCTGATGACAATCCCCAGGCAGGGATCCTTATACAGGTAATGTAACAAACATTATTTTAAAATTAAAATCAATATTCTTCACCGGATGGAACCATCGTAATTTCCATTTCAGTTTTTACTGAATTCTGAGCCTGTGAAGAATCCGATCTGGTGCTGCTGGTCGGAATCCAAGGGTTACGTATACGTAATACTGCAAAAATATGATGAAATGCCTTCTGATAGGAAGACATCGCTCCCGACCTAGTCACACGGAATGGGATCTGAAGGATGAAAAGAATTGACAGACTCGGTTGAGAATTTTCATCACGACGTAGATGCAAGACAATTCATTTTTAGATTATGACTCAGGTTATGGGCATAAAAATATTACAGCACGTATTTCTGCATTATTTCTGTTTACTTTTTTTCATTACCAGTCCCGACATAAAAAGCAATCAAAACGGACTTTATGCATTCTACCACAACTTTATACTATTCAATGAATAAATCATTTTTATACTACCCTAATAAAAAATTACTATAAACGAGCGATAACCCAAATTATTGAACTATTCCACAAATGGTTTGGATGATACCCCGAACACGTCATTGAGCAAATTAACCATACAATTTTTATTAGGGTAAGCTTGCATTCTCTCTGTTTATACCACGCTATGCGTCGGCTAGGAGAGTTGCGATTTAGCGTAACTTTTATACTATTTAAGCCTGGTACGCAGCTGAAAAGAAAACGGAAAAGTAATTTTTGAGGAATATTCCCAAAAGTAAATTTGACAGCTATAGGGAGGTGTCTTTTGCTAAATTTTGAGATCATAGGTAGGTGTCGTCTAATTTTAAAATCAACAATTATCCATTTTTATGTTGTTAAAATGCATCCAAAACATCATTTTTACAACAAACGTTAAAATTACCTAACGGAATAATTGATCAGACCATTGGAAGATTACCGTAAAAGCTCAACGCAGATGTCGCCACTGCATGATGATGATAATGTTGACAGACTGCATATAAAATTCGTGAAAATTAGCGTTAAATCATAATTTTCATCAAGCCTGTGTAAAATCCTTCCAATATAACATTCGAATTGAAGAAGAAAACGTGTTTACGATCAGACTGATGTGCATCTTTGACTTTTCCAGTTGAACTTTCATAAGATATATTCATTTCATTTCGCGGCTCCATCAATGCTGCATCGTAAATACGATGTAAACAGAAGTAAATTGCTCAATTACTCAAAATAAAGATGATTTGTCATCACTTTGAAGACCATCTAGCACCATTTTATAGTATGGTGCGTGTTGAGTAAATCAAGTTCCGGTGCGTTTTCCATCGAAAATTGTGAGTATCAATATGTTTGCTTAGAAAAGGCCAAAATGAACATTTATTGAATAATGGCGTTCTATAAAACCAATTCTCCATTACCACCAGCATGATACAACCTTTCCTAAGTAAATTAACTTAATTTCCACTTTCATCTTAGTGGAAATCGCAAATATTCACCATTTTCCGAAAAATGCAGCTGCGCAGGAGGTAACCTCTCGCTGTGGGTGCAAACTTGTTATGCATTATTTTCCATGATAACCTATCCGATCCATACCGAAATAATAACAATTAGTTTTCAAACACGTTTTCTTACACGATTCAAGCAAAAGTTTCCACGGGAAATTATTAGTTTTTCTTTATGGACCGATTTGCCCCAAAAATCGACTGTTTTACTTGGAAAATTTGGAAACTATCCTCCTTCTAGTAGTTCTCACTTCAAAATGTAGGAGGCTAAAGCTTGGAAAAGTTTCACTGCAAGATGCCAATTATTCAGCAAGGAAAGTGAAATTGCATTCAGAATGCGCCACCTTCATGTCGATCACGATACTAATGTAATCGATCTTTCCTTTACCGATTTCTTTTGAACTGCGTAGGGGCTGTTCATAAACTACGTAGACAGTTTAGGGGGGGGGGGTTGAAAATTATCCACGACCCATACAAATTTTAAATTTTTTGTATGGACAATTGTCTACGCAGGGGGAGGGGGGGGTCAAGAATCCCAAAAAACTGTCTACGTAGTTTATGAACAGCCCCGTACTGGGTCAAGAAATGCTGAGGAAAAGTAATTTCTTTTGCATTCCGTGTCCTATCCGGTAGCACATAAAAACGTCATTACTTTTCAGCTGCGTACCAGGCTTTAGACTTGAATATTTTTTGAGTGTATGCCAGATCATAAACACTCTAACATTATAGTACCCATTAAGTAGTACAATTTCACCCATTTTGAAGTAAAGTAAAGTAATAACCATTAATGAGTAACATTTACTTACTAATGAGCAACAATTATTCATTTATGTGTATTAGATACCCATTAACTTTACGCCGACTACAAAGCCTCCGAAAAACGTGTAACGGCAAGTTTGCCATGGCATAACTTAGCCATTTCTTAATGAATTTCAAAAATTGTGGTACCTTTAGAATTCCTAGAGTTTGTAGATGATTGTAAAAAGATTGACAATAGAGTCGTCTACATTTTTAAAAAGTGAAAAGAGTTGTTACACGTTTTTTTGAAAAGCGTGTTTGTAGGGTTTTGCAAGTGGCGCAAGATCTGTAATTTAGATTCTTGGTTGTTAGAAAGAACCGGAACAGCAAAGTTTAAAAGTAGAATGGATTTTATTTAACGACTAGCTTGAGTGGAGTCTTGAACAGGAATGAAAAGTTTTTCACCGTTGTTTATTTAAGAAAACTTAGGTTGCTAGGGGTGACGTTCGGTCTCCAAGGAGGTGATCAGCACACTGCGTTACCGATTTACTCCAACACCCCCCCTGAATCGGTCAGTCCTAGGAGGGTCCTCAGTTCGCGGAAACGTCCAGGTTCCAGGGGCTTGGTGAACGTGTCCGCTATTTGGTTTGCTGTATCAATTGCTTCGATTTGAAGTCTTCCTTGTGCCACATGGTCGCGCAAAAAATGGTGCTTTACATCGATGTGCTTGACACGCTTGCTTTCGGTGTTTGTGGCCATTGCAATGCACCCACGGTTGTCTTCGTACACCTTGAATGCCGTGTCCGGTCGAACTTGCTTCAGGTCCTCAAGGATTCCGTGCAGCCACAGCCCTTCGGAGGCCGCGGCACTTAAAGCTGCATACTCGGCTTCACACGACGACAGTGCAACGGTTTGTTGCTTGCGGCTTGCCCAAGACACGGTGTTCCCAAAGACCTTAAAGACGAAACCACTAACGGATTTCCTATCCTCAGCATCCGATGCCCAGTCAGCGTCTGCGTACCCGACAAGTGCCTCGGCGTCGTCGTTTTGCTTGTACTGGAGCTTCAAGTTCTTCGTTCCCTTCACGTAACGGACCACTCTCTTCAGGGCTTGCCAGTGGGCCTCATCAGGTTGAACTTGGAAGCGCCCTAGGTATCCAACAGCGTAGCATATGTCCGGTCGAACACACAGCATCGTATACATCAGGCTGCCCAGCAATTGACGGTATGCATGCGACACAGGATTCGCAGCTTGTGGTGGCAGGAAACAGCCTTTCTCCATTGGGGTTTTGACATGGTTACAGTCTTGCATGCCGAACTTCGTCAGCACACGGTCCACAGCAGCTTCTTGCGCCAGGTACATGCATCCGGTGGCGCGGTCGTATCGGATCTTCATTCCAAGGAAATGATTAACCACGCCGCAATCCGTCATCTGGAGCTTCTTGGAAAGAGCACGCTTGATCTCCTTCACCAGGTCCAGTCGATCGCCAGCAATGAGCAAATCGTCCACGTAGATGATTATGTATACCCCCCCTCGATCGTCGATCCTGGTATATAGACAGTAATCATGCCGGGAACGGGTAAAGCCGAAATCCAGTAGGTATCAAAAGATTTCAAGTTATATTTTTCGATATGGTATGCTATTTATTTGATTATATATGGTTTAAACCAAACTCATTATTTGCACTTTATAAACCTGTACTCGGACAGAAAAGATTCATATCACCGATAGTTTCCTGTGTATGTCCTTGGAATATAGCCGCCGAATGAGTGTGATTCATTTAGCACTTTCTATCACTGCGATGGCGAAAGAGCATGGATCGCTACTGCGGTCTTCATATGTCCTCGTTTGATAACGTGCGGAATCTTCTTCGGTACCATGCTAAAAATTTTGATATTTATAATTCGATTTTTCTTGGAACAGCCCGGGGTTAACCTACCTAATACAGTCGATAATCGGACAAACCGAAAGGCACAGATTGCACCCGGTGCAGTCATCCGTCACGCTGGGCAGATGCGTTACCGAGTCGAACTCGATCGCTTGGTAGCCAGAATCGGCACAGGTCATGTAGCACTTGCCGCAGTTGATACAGAGGTCCTGTCGATAAAAAAAGAATCACATTTTCCGTTACATTACTTGGGTTGATCCTAATTTAGAACAGCTTACATCATCGATCAGCGCCACCACTTGCTTCTTGTTGTCCAGACTCTTGTATGAACCAATTTTCGATAGGGCCGCTCCCAGCACTTCCTTGATCTTCGGTGCTGGATTGGAAATCTTCGGAACGTCATCATTCTTCACTCCATTCAGCTCCTCTGCACATGGATCCCACAGCGAGCCCTTCTCAAGTCGCATTTGTGCCAGCTTCTCCTCACGCTTCTTCTTGTACTCTCCAAAGTGCAGCAACGGTTTTCCATCGTCATCCTTCAGCGGTGCCACGGGCTTACCCTTCTGGAGCTTCTGCAACGGTGGCGACTGCCCATCCCACTGCAAACTCTCTGGCGGAGGGTTTGCCTTCAGATACAACAACGCCTTCAATCCCAGAATGTAATCCTCGATTACGGTGAAGTCCTGATTTTGAATCGATGAGCAAATTTGTAGGATGGGAGCTCCACATTGGATGAACTGCAAAGCAACGTCCGCCGAGTCGATACCGCCGATTCCACAGATTGGGAATCCGGGCATTTTGTTGCCGATCAAAGAAATGGCTCGCAGAGCTTGCGGGCGAGTTGCGTTTCCGGACACTCCTCCGTAGGTGGTTCTCTTGTCAACGCCAACCGATGGCCACGGCGATGTATCCGCCTTGACGGTCATCAATCCCTGCACGGTATTGATGGCGGAGACTCCGTCCGCTTTGCCTCGCTGGGCAGCTTGCGCGATCGCCACGATGTCGGTGATGTTCGGAGTTAGTTTGACGAAGAATGGAATCTTGACGGCTGCCCGTACCCACAATGAGATGTTGTAGACCAGCTTGGGATCCTGGCCACATGCCAGACCCATGCCGGATTCTCCCATACCGTGAGGGCAGGATAGATTCAACTCAAGCATATCCGCACCCGCAGCTTCCGCTCGCTTGGCCAGCTCGGTCCAGTCCTCTTCATTGTAGGTGCACATAATACTGGCGATGACCACCTTAGTCGGGAAGTCACGCTTCAGTTCCTGGACACCAGTCAACCAGTAATCGGCACACTTTTCCGAAATCAATTCGATATTCAAAAAGGCACCTTGCTGCGGACCGAAGGTGTGTCCGGAGGTAACACCCCGCACAATTCGTGGACTCACGTTGGTTACCATGTCCTTATCGAGGGCGAAAGTTTTGGTGACGGCAAAGCCCCAGCCTTGCTCGAACGCACGGCGGATCATAGCGGTAGCCGTGGTCGGAGGAGCCGATGCCAGTCCAAAGGGATTTTCGAACTTGACACCGCAAACTTCAACCGAAAGGTCTACACCGTCGATTTCGGTGTAGAACAGTGGAAGTTGCGGGGTTGTGTCGAACGAGAGACCCTGAAGGTAGCAGTGAAGATACCAGGCAGCAGTTTTGCCATCGTTGACGGATTCAACGGTGGTTTCAGCAGCACCTGCGAGATCTCCGCCGCAGAAAACGGATGATAGCTGGGTTTGTTGCGTCTTGGGGTTCACCTGGGGCAGATTCCAGCGGTTCAGAGGGACCGGGCTCAAGGCATCGATGACTAAAAAAGAGTTGACATGTTAGAAGATTGATGTGAATGAACATGAGGGATCAGCTTACTGTCTTTATCGCTCAAACCAGAGCCAAACGCGGATATGACAAAGTTGGCCTTCAACCGGGTGATTTGGTCCGGATCCTGAATCCAGTGTCCCTGGTCATCCTGTTCGGTGCGGAAGAATTCTATGGCAGCGATTTTTCCATCCTTCAGGACCACCTCCTTTGGGGCCATGAATGGAATGAACTCGCATCGTTCTTCGCGAGCCAGTTCGACTTCCTCCGGCACGGCACGGATGCTGTTGTTACCTTTGCGGAAGCAGACAAACACGCGACGGGCACCGCAGCGCAGTGCCGAGGTGGCACAGTCGAAAGCAGTGTCACCAGCTCCGAGAACGATCACGTTGCCGCTGAGAGACGGCAGACGCTGGGTGGCTGCGGACTTGCATGCACAGAGACCCGGTTTGCTACCGTCGGAAACCAACGGGAGGAAGTCCTTGGACGTGTAGAAGCCTTGCTCATGGGAAAGGCCCTCGAAAATCTTGTCGATCTTGGGTTGTGGAAGACCAATTCCGAGGAATACAGCATCGTTGCCGGACTTGAGGAGCCCTTCGATGGTTAGGTCCTTGGTCGAGAGGGAGCGTCCGGTTTCGATCTTAACACCGAGGTCCTTAACCAGTTGAATTTCGAAGTCTACGACGTCGATGGGAAGGCGGTATTGGGGGATCTCCGATGAGCTCAGACCTCCCAGATAGGTGCGTCTTTCGTAGATTGTGATGTCCTTGTAACCAAGACGGCCAAGGAAGGTGGCACAGGAGAGCGAAGCAGGACCACCTCCAAGGAGAGCAACCTTCTTGTTCGGGAACTTGAGCGGAGCCACATTCGGCGGTACGATCTGGTGCAGTCCCATGCGCTTGAACACCTCGGTGGCATACTGTTGCAGTCCTCCGATGTTGATAGCACCCTCTTCGGCCGCTTGTAGATTGCAGCCTCCAACGCAGAGGTCCGAAGTCGGGCAAACCATACCGCAGGTTAGTCCCAGCGGGTTGTCGGAGAAGATGGCCTTCGCAGCACCGTAGTAGTTCTTGTTGGAGATGCTGGTAATGAAGCTCTTGATGTCCAGCTGAGTCGGGCACGACTTTTGGCACGGAGCATCCGCACACTTGAGACAACGGGCGGCTTCACGGAGGGCGGCCCGCTCCGATAGGGTCGTGTGCTTGATGTCCGAGAAGTCATTGGTCAGCGGGGTGCAGCTCGTGCAGGACCGATCCGTGTTACGCTTCCAGTGTTTCTTGGTCACCTTGGTTACGGTGGTCGGCACCAGTGAGCCGTGGGTCTTGACGCGCGGATTGAGTGCCAGCAGGCTCTGTGGATCAAAAGTGGGAAATTAGTCAAGGTCCGTGAGCAGGTATGAGTCCCTGTATGATGTAATATTTGCAACGTCCGTTATCTTAATGATACAAATTGAAGAGGTTATCACATTGGCAGTCCGTTGTTAACAACGGCAAGCGTCCACATAAAATTTACTAATTGCCATTGTTGAGTGTGAGCGACTGATAAGCCCTCAAATTTAAGCTCGGCGATTGGTGCGCGCGTGTGGGGAGTGTGGCGATGAAAACTGGAACAATACAAATCAGACCGAGCTGTGACGTCTACAACCGGTTATCAGTCACTTGTGGCAAATTGTAGCTGCTGGCAATCGCGAACGCGAAGGTCAGTGGCAAATAGAATATGGTTAAGTGATTAAACGGTTCGCAGCGGTGCGTAGAACATGTTTTCGTACATTTTGCGCAGTTTGCAAAGCGTTACGTAACGTAACGTCTAGGTAAAACAAACGCTTTCTACGAGTCGTCAACGAAAATACCGAAACAACAACAACAACTTGTTTACTGTAATTGACACTAACGGCGTTTATTGTTACTACACTGTCAACAGAGCCATCATATAAAATAGATCAAATAGCGTTATACTTGAAAGCTCGTAAAAGCATAGCGGCTTACCTCAATGTCCGGAAGGTCTTTGCTGGTCAAAACACTAGCACAACTCATGCTGAGATGTTTTCGTCGTTAGTGACGGGTAGATAAGAGAGAATGCAAAATCAGTTAGCTGATTCCATACAACGGCTACACCCCCTTATCGAGTGGCACGATCCGGTGATTATTCGATTAGGTTTTCTATTTTGTTTGTATACCTGCAAAAAATAAGCCAGAGTCAACGAACGGCGGTAAAAGAAGATACCTGTTTCCATAGTAACAACAAAAAGTTGATAAGCGCGTAGGACATTTGTCATTTTTTTTTTCTGTGACGAAGTTGTCATCCGTCGGTTGGAATAAAATTTCCATTTTACACACTTGTCAAGCGTGACCGGAAAAGTTCTCCTCACGCTTCCGTCATCAGTCAGCGCCAGCACAATATGATAATTTTGAACAAAAAAAAAATGATAATATACATTGCCATTTGGATAGGGTCGGCCTTGAGTGGAAACCTGTTCGTGTTCTGCCGTTTTGGCTTGTTCTAACGAGGAGTTTTGGTTCCAGTCACTACGGCACTTTTTCTCTCTCGCCAATGTAGGCGTAACACGTCGCTCTCGCATATCAACCGTGACGTCGTCGCCTGCCATGTCGCAGAAATCGCGAGTTCCAGAACACGTGAAATTGAATTCAACGCCCGTAATAACATCTCATTTGTTCCATTGAACTTTAATACGACAGCGCATTTTTGTTACACTCTTCTACCAGGTGAAATCTAATTACACTGGCCCTTAGTACAGCATTACGTTCTTTCTATTCACCGCAGAATAAATTCTTCCACTCCCATGGTCCATGAATAAATCAAACGAAATTTATTGGCCTCTCTCGTCGTCGCCGTCGTTGTTTGCTTGTCACTGCCTACCGTGTTAAGCCTCTTCCAGCTTAATTTGAATCAATTATTCATTTGCGCGTCTTTTCATGATGATACACATTCTTCTTTTCCTAGCCATATCCGTCACACCTTCTGGGCGTAAAAGCCTCTTATGAGCCAAAACGAGCAATTCAATTAAACCGATTCCATCGCGTCTATCACTATCTATGGCATGGTAATTATACTGACAGTCGGATCGGTAGGCTCTACCTGGGAGAACTTCTATACAAACCTTCCGAACGCCTCGACGGTCACGATTAAACTGATTTTTCCACAATTCTAAACCTAAGTCGTCCACGCGACTCGTTCGGCAAAGACAACGTTGCCCATAGGCCCCCCGAACACAGTGGAATGGAGGAAAGCATAACAAGAAGTCTATTATCACTGCGCATTAGGGTGGTTCAAAATATAAAGTTTGCTCCACCGCACTCAATCGATTCTAAATCTGGTCCTGATCATTCAGGCACGTAGACGGTTCAGCGCAGACAGTTGCGAGTCACCATGAGCACGTTCATCATGTCCACCGTGTTCCGGAATGAAATAAGGCAATGCGAATTCGTCGAGGATTTCCATGTTCTCTTCGCAATGAATAGGGTCAGTATTCGGATCAGCTTCGACTTCTGGAACTGCATAATATTTTTAAAATAAATGTAGTTTTAACTATAATCTTATGTTATTACCTTCGATACTTTCTTCAACCAATGAGGATTGATGGCAAAGCTACCCGGAATTGCATGAGGTAGTTCTGAAGGGGATCCTCCAGACGGTCCAATTTTCACTCCTGAAAAATATTTAATTATAAAGGGGCCTCCTCCTGGTGAGGGGTGTTCATTTAATACGATACCCCTCACCATTCCTCCCCAACAGGGGAGTTTGGTAAAGGAGATGATTAACTCGATTCGTGCTTTCCTCAATATTGTCTTTTGCTCGATTTTTATTCTCCATAGACAATTTTCAAACTGCCGTACTCTAACGAAACTATCAAGCTATCAACTATATATTGAAGAGCAAATTTTCATTACGTCGAATGTAACAAAGGTAAACAAAGTCGAGCTATCAGTGTCAATCGATTCTCCTGCTATTACACTATATACTGTCCGAATATAGGATCAAATCCCATTTTTAAATTTATTTGCCAGTCAAATTGCTTTTTGACGGAATCACCTTCCGATCAAAATAGTTTTCGATGTTACTTAAGTCACCCAATTTCTATGGAGATGCCGTTTGACTTAAGTAACAGCGCTGAGAAACCCGTGAAAAGTGTACGTTCGTCGTTTCGCTTTCTCATTATTAAAGTGAATAAATCGAACTGTTTGTTGCTAAGATGATTTCGGTGGTCCTAAAATGATGAATGGGCTGCACGTAAGGAGACGTAATTGATAATTCTCCCGAATATCCTGGTAAATACACTTTGACTTAAGTAACAATAGGGGCCACCAAACGACGTATAATAACTTTTGACTCAAAAACCAGTATTTTTTAGCATGAAAGCTAGCGATTTGCATTTGTATGATTAAAACCCTGCTAAATATGTTAAACATTGCTATCACTATGAGATTATATGTGTTTACTTGGAAATAGGAATAACTTTTCGGTCATCAAAACAAAACTTTATTTTTCTCGGATTGGTGCGAATGTTACTTACGACATAATGAAAATTTGCTCTTGATATATACTTTCATCTCCTCAACCATAGTATAAAATGAACACTTCAAGTCTGATATTTGATGTTAAGCATCTCCAACTATGGAAATCGTCAACTTCACGCATGGAGTAATACAAACCTAATTAGTAAAAAAAAGTTAATGTTAAATTTCACCTGTATTTTAAAGTGAGGTTATGAATCCTCACTTTAATATCCTTGCGCTTCTGTACCTTCAGCCCCGCTTTCAACTCTTTGAAGACGTGGCTGTTCCGGCGCGTCTCCCGAAGCTGATCGATTTTATCCGACCACATTTCAATTTATTTTCGAAGTGTCAAATTTAAGTGAAAAATTTCCAAATGGAACACAGCCCAAAGCTCGGACTAAAAAGACTGAATTGGGCAAAGAGGCGACATCTTATCCATTTGACAGGTCTTCTGCTCGATTGGAATAACTTTTCATATATGGAATTGACAGATAATCGATTGTTACAATTTTGACATGTCGTATCTTTGTAAATTCCGAGGTAAATTCAGCCTCTTTAGGCTCTGAACCATTTGGTGGATTATTTTAACTTCTGGGTAAAATTTAACAGCTGAAAAGTTATCGATTAACCCTGCTATCCGAGCGTGGTTACTTCTGATAGACAAAAAGTTAATTTTTGACAACCTTGGCTAAGTTCTTCTCGAAAGCCGATCGATCGACAGCACAGGGATTTTCTAAAATAGAAAATAACTTTCGAAATGTCACTTTTAACATAAATAAAATTCACAGCCTTAACGCACACTACTGCACCATTTAATTCTCGCACCAGCGCACTGCGACGTAGCGGTGGCGTCTTAATTGCCGTGAAATCCGAGCTGAAGTGTAAGGCTGTTCATCTTGTGGGCGTTGAGAGCCTCGAACAAATTGCTGTTCAAGTCGATTTACAACATCAATCGATCTTCCTGTGCTGCATCTATATTCGACCAAACAGTCAGCCCGACATTTACACCAAACACGCTGAGTCCGTACAACAGCTCCTTGGTATGGCGAATCCTCACGATACAACCATAGTTGTGGGCGATTACAATCTGCCAAATCTAGCTTGGGACTTCGATGAGGATGTCAGAAGATTTCTGCCTCTCAATGCTTCATCAGAACAGGAACTCGCTGTAGTGGAGTCCATACTGTCTGCTGGATTGAAGCAAATCAACGATCTGGTGAACACGAATGGTAACCCAAGCAACACCATTTGTTTCTCAGTGAGTAACAACAACCTTAGTGTGACTAATAGACGGTCTAAATTATGGACGAAGCACCGCATATAAAACTTTATTGTACCTTAAAAAGCGCAGAAGGTGGAGTCTCTTTGCAACTTATGTTTGTGACATAAGGTGTTGCAAATAAGGTGCATGTAACATGAAATTTGAATGACACAAGTTGTAAATGAGTTTTCAACTGACTTAACTGCAATGTTTCACTGAAATATTTAAAACTGTACTGTGATGTTTTCGAATACATGTAAATGACATTCAAGTTAACCACATAAATGCATTGGATATTTTTGTGATGTGATGCGGAAAAAGCATACTGATGTTTTTATTTAGACTGCAAAAACAGAGATGACAATCATAGAAAAAGTCATTGAATAAAAGTATGATATTAATTACTTTAAAATATTGATGACTAGTCCGTTTTTTCAAACGCATCTAGTTTTATGGTGAGATTACACATTTTGCTTCGATTAATTATATACGCCTTCAAAAACTTATAAATTAATGCCGCAAATTTGCAGCTTGAAAAATTTGTCGAAATAAAAAATTGATCTGTAAAATAAAATATTTATACTCAATATGTTAATAGGGTGTGAAACATGAATAAATTGAAAAATAAGTTTATTATGATTTTTTTTCTGGTGGATAACATATGGCTGCTAGTCTTACCAACAGCATTCTAATTGTGTACATTGCGGGTCAACATGTTCAATACAACCATATTTATTTGTATGTGCGGTTGTGTTTGCGAATGTGATTAATTTTTGGTTTCATTCCAACCGAATGAAATTAGCATGATGATGAGTTCTTAAAACTCAAAATCATGTTTAATAAAATCAATAATCAATGGGATGGTCAGTGGTCACTACATAATGTACCCAGGGACTTTTTCGGCTCTCTAAGGCAAGGCAGCGCTCTGTTGTGAGCCGATCACCGACAAGATATTTTGACAAGCTGGTTGTCATGTCACACCCCGTCACATCAGTACCGATTGATCCTATTAATTTTAATTTTTAGCTGACAGAAAGTTTATTGAACGCAAAAATGCTTAAAAACTAATTTTAAGAAGTATTTTATGCATATATTTAAATTTAAACATATTTTTTAAATAAAATAAATGGTATTAATTTTTTATCAATTTTCAAAAATCAATCAATCCATAAGTAATCATCATCAGTTGTGGGACTCGTATGACTCCCGGAAACAAGAAACAAAAATTCAACTCCAAATAAATATACCAGCTAGCTGCTGCGTATCATCAATTTCTGGTCAATAAATCCTTGCTAATCCTTACATAAATCCTTGCTTTTTTACCCCTTGGTCGATCATAATATTACTATTCACTAATTAGTGAATGGGATCGATATTTCAACGCTTAGAGTTCATACTTCA